TTAAGATACTTTAGATAGATATGCTATTATTAATTTAAAAAGGCATTTTGATGGAGAAGGAAAGAAAGCTGAGTCTAGACTGTCATTTCATACCATACAGTCCAACAATGGTCAATAATTACATTTGTAGAGCAGATAGTGTGCATCATTCTCAATGCAGATGTTTTTAAGTAATTAAGCACCCACCAAAAAAAATCATGTTTATCACCAGCTACTAGAGGCTTAACTTCTGTTCTTGTATTTTTGCAGAGAAAAAAAACAACTTTGGAAGCTTTTTTTTAAAAGACATTTTTAGTATGATTTAACAAACGGTATCCTTTTTTAAAAACATTAGACTGTGCATTTGACACCTTCAAACTGCTTCCAACAACCACTTTACTTATCTGATAAATCAAATCCACCAGAGTGAAGTAAAAACTACAACTGTTTTTTTCGCTCCAAAATAAAGGCACATGAAAAATGGAGACTCAATCCCACAAACAGCGAATAAAACACGACAACACTGACAACCTTCTCAGCATTAAACACTTGAAACTAAAATAGATGTGTCATTATCAGCTCAACACAAAGGCCTACAAAAACAAAACATGCACCAAAATGTAAACTTCTTCAGTCTGCCGTCGCTCCTGCTTAGGTTTTTATTAAAATGAGACGGATCCTACCGCTTTGCTGCTGGGCGCAGTGTGTGCCATCCATTGCTCCATTGGATCCCAGTGTGGACCTGGATGTGACAGGCTGCCTGAATTGAGAGCCAGTGTGTGAGTGTGTGTGCCTGAGTGTTAGAGAGCGTCAGAGTGTTGTAGTGAGTGAGTTTGCCCCTATAGTGCACGCTCACATGTCCATAGCGAGGCCATGTATGGAGCTGGGTGTGTGTCAGGAATATTGTATGAGATGTGATGGGTGGGTAGAGTGTATCTACTACTGTAACGAATCAAGTGTCCCCTGTAGGATATGACCAGTGAGTGTCACTAAAGCGTGTATATGTGCGTCCAAGTGTGCATCACCCCCTTCATCTCGACAATTCAGTGGTCTGCTCAGCCTTCCCTCTTTTCTTGGAATCTTCTCAGCTGCATTTTCATTTTTTATATTGAACTCGGTTAAGTGTCAATCACAGGTCACATGCACTGGACTATCTGCGGAGGCTCACATACAGGTAAATTATAAGAAAAAGAATGACTTTATCAAATGCTGAAATGACTTTAAATAAGGGGCATCTTAAAGTTAAAAACATTTAATGTGGCTGTGGGGGCGCTGGTTTAGCTCAATTGTGGCCCCATGTACTCCTCGTCGCTAATGTGTGTAAAAAGAAGCTGCTATAGGGAGGGACTTGCAATACTGATTGGTATTTATAGAAGTCAACAACACTGCAAATAAGAACATTAAAACATAAATACAACCCATAACACTTAACTAGCAAGTTGCTCTTATGTATCCTAAACTCGAGAAAGTTTTTCATTGGATGCAAAATTGTAACGAGCCATAGTGCAGGTTAAGTCATGGTCAGTATTATATGAGTATCAGTAAATGAAACAGTAAAATATCAATTAAAATAACAAGAAGTGAATCATATCTGGGGCTGCAGGTTGGTGCAGTGGTTAGCACTGTTATCTCACAGCAAGGGCGTTCCTGGTTTGAATCCCTGTTGGACAGCGCCTCTCTGCGTGGAGTTTGCATGTTCTCCCCGCGCATTTGTAGCTTCACTACAGGAACTTTGGCTTCCTCCCACAGTCCAGATACATGCTCTGTAAGTCAATTGGTGACTCTAAATTGCCTGTAGGTGTGAATGTGAGTGTGGCTGGTTGTCTGTCTCTATATATCAGCTCTGTGATTGACTGGCAAACAGTCCAGGGTGTAACCCTGCCTCTCGCCCAATGACTCTGGGATCGGCTCCAGCCCTCCACGACCCCCAACAGGAAAAGCGGTATAGATAATGGATGGATGGATGGACCTTTTACCGGAATGAAATTGACTCGGGGCAAAAATGTACCAAAACAATTCTTAAACCCTTATTTTAATTTCATAGGACCTTTAAAGGCTGCTGGTGCATTTATATTCCAGCCATGCACTTCTGCACAAAACAACAGAGTTTAGCATTCATGAGCTACTTTGTTTGCAAAGCAGTTTGGTCATGACAAACAGCAAGAGGCAAAAAAACAACAACATGTTGAGAGCAGGAAAAGGGGACAGTGCCAGAAGCCATTGCAAATGAGCGAGAACATTTGAATGTGCTCTTGTTCAGGGTGTCAGATGTTTTATGGGACACTTCAATTATTCAGCCTTGTTTGGCGTTCAACATCTTCTTCTCTGGTCCGCTGAGGCACTTCATCGCACTACATGATGTGGAGCTGCCATCTTCAGGCCTGAGATGGTATTGCAAATGCTCTTACAGAAACATATCACCTGCGCAGTTGTTCTCAGGCGTTTGCCACACAGATCAAAAGGCGCTCAGTTGGACCATAGAGCTCAGCTCTAGATTTAAGCGATTACTTCTCTCTCTGTTGTTGAAAACACAGTTCTAACCGAAATCCGCTGCTGCAGATGACTAAAAAAGATGAAGGCTTTGGGACTACAGAGAAAGGTCAGAGGGCAGGTGGGGGCAGTGACTTTAGGGGATTTATGGAGCTAACATAAAATATAAAAACATATTGTCTTTTTTGATGCTCACACATCATGGCTCAGCTAAATAGAGTTTTCAGATATAGATATAGATAGATATAGATATACACATTAGAAATATTAATGTGACAAAAGAAAGTCATTGTGTGAAATGGGTTACAGATATAAGCACTGTGATTTCAGTTTATTTTGTTTTTTTCCATGCTTCCTATAGGAGTCTATAAATAGCAGTCCATAGCATTTGGAGACACAGCTGGTGCTGTTCCCTCCATCTGCACATTAATGTTTCTACAGTGTGTAGTGTGGTTTAATGCTCATGCATGCATAATGTACACATGCATAACACACACACACACACACACACACACACACACACACACACACACACACACACACACACACACACACATCCCATAAGGTCATCTTTTGACCTTGCCAGCTGCACCTCGCGCAAATGTTCCATGATTGCATTAGGTTTATGTTTTGTTGCATCATCAACTTCTGATAACCTCCTATTGATGTTCCCATTCTTAGTGAGAGAGGAAAAAACGAGCATGATGCATCAGTCACACAGTCTGAAAGAACAGATCAAATATATTCCTCTTTAGTAACGCAGCATGAATCCAAGCAAAGGGCTTAACTTAAGCTTTTATTGCTCTTTGTTCATATAATTCCTCGTATGGGCCGAACCTAAGATTAAAGGTCTTCACTCAGTACAGTACAGCATCTTAGTTAATCAACTGTCAAACTACTCTACACACTTGATTGTTAGAGCAAGATAAAGCTACATTCACTTTATACTCATTGCAGTTCATTGGTTGGTTTGCAGACTGTGTCAGGTACCATGATCTAGAAACCATTATCCAATGATTCATTGGATAATGAAAATGGTTGTAAAAACCACCGAGTGACTTAAACGTAGTTGTAAATAGCTGTCTTATGGTTAAGTGATGCAGTTTGTCAGGGTACGTTTGGAGTTAATGGCACAACTTGTTGATTTGTTTCTGCTCACTGGTCATTACTAATCCAAAAGGACATGCTGTATGGACTTTAAAATAAACAGTTGAATCTATTAGGAGCTGATTGACGAAAAGTCAAGTTGGCAATCAATATGAGACAAAGTTACTAAATACTCTCATGCACCCATGCAAACAAAGCTAAATGTGAGAAAGAGCCAAACAAGTAGAGTGATGAACAGTCAAAAAAAAGTTCTTCCAACAGATTTAAGAGAACTAGGGCAACAATTTAATCAGCTAATAATGATAAAGAAAGCTATATGTATTTGTATTTGCTCATCTAACCTTACCCCCCCCCCCCTCCCAGTTGCTTGCTGATTTTATAATTACATATTCCATCCTTACTAGCTTGGTTTCTTTGTGTGCAACAGAGCAAGCACCTTGGTGAAATGCTGTCATAAAAGCAGACTTTCCATCTTGAAAATTATCCCATATGGTCGCCTTCTCCGTGTCTCTTCCTCTGAATTACTTTGACTAATGCTTTTTTCAGCAGCTGTGCAAAGAAAACACAGGTGGCTGCATTGCACACAAATCATGTTTCAACATGACAAATCCAGCTAAAAAACACAACTCATCTCTCTTAATACATATGGAATTGTTGTTTATCATTGTTGTTTGCCAATGATCTGTAAAGTATAAGTCATTTGTCTGTGTTTGCTATTCCGTACATCTCTTACTCAGCCAGCTATATAAGCTGCATTGCATACAGTGTTCCTGTAACCAGGTGTTGGTTATGTAAGGCAGAAATTCAGACAGAACATCTACAGTGGCAGTTAAAAGCTTTTTTTTTTTAAAGAGCAATTAGTGTGAGTGAAGTGAAGTGTTTGCAGCCTGTGAAAGAAGAAGAGGAGTGACTCCTCTGACTCTGACGCGCAGATGGAAGAGGAAGAACGCAGGCTTGTCACAACCTGAGGAAATCAGAGTGCTGCTACACAACATGTCCCATATACATTCTTATCTGTATAACTCCCCTAGTCAGTAAACGTTGGCAGACTGCCACACCACCCTCCATCATCATCTCATCAGAGCTCGATCAATATCATTCTCATTCACTGGAGCTGGGGGCACGAGCATTATCTCCCCAGGAACACTTGTCACATTACAGCAGGTGAAAGTGGCTGGCAGAGGCTAAGTTAATTATGCTAGCTCAGTTACATCTGTCCACACATCAATATTCCTTGCATGCACAATTTACAGTACTGAACCTCTGCGCTCAGTATGAGTGAAACTGCAGTGAAGAACTGGGAAATACTGAAAAGTTTCAGCAACCCAAGTTAGTTCAGCAAATCCAGGTTTTACCAATCACTCAGAAACAGCCACTCTCCCCGCGTTGTGCACCACACGATCTTAAAGTGAACTCTGTCCTACCTGTGTGACTTTTTCTGTGACGTTGTGAGTCCGGTCTATGAGTTTGCAGGGAGCTATGATGTCCATCTCCCCGGTGGGCAGGGCGATGAGTGGGTCTGGTTTGAAATCCACAAAGTTGAGTGTGATCTGAGGGATCTTGGAAATGGTGCGGTACCGCATGAGGTCTGAGTCTGATGTTGAGTTCAAGATGTTAGACTTACTGTTAACTGCACCTGCAAGAAACACAGAGAGCATATAGTAGAGTAGAAACAAAAAGATAAGAGATGACGATTTTTCCCACAGTTTTTCTTCCTCACCAGTACTGCTGCTGCCCTGCCGGACACTCGCTCTCCGGTTCTTTCTGTCCCAGTCCGGCCTCATGGCCTCGATCTCGTCTACGGAGGAGGCACGACGCATGCTGTGGAAGCTCTCCCGCGAGCGGGTGTGCGACAGAGTGCAGTTGGAGCCTGAACCGTCTGGGTTCAGGCTGAGGCGATGGTGAGGTGCTACGCAGGGCGATGACTGGGTGAGGGGACCCACCAGATGTGTTCTGTGGGGAGGGGGAGGTGCAGGTGGACGGTGTACAGGAGGGTCAGAACCCAGTAAGGTGCGATGGTCCTCTAGGCGGTCCTCTGGCCAACTCTGTAGAGCTGACCTAGGAAACAAAGAAGATATCATGGGTATTAACAGGGCTACATATGTGGGAGTCCATCATTGAACTGCATATACCTTTGAAAAGCAGAATGCTGCTGTTCATGGGGCAAACGGTGGGCTTTGATCTCACTGTGTTTCTATACAGAAAACATTTTAGATTAAGACAGCCCTGACAATGTGAGATTTTCAGGACTGATATCAGTATTAATTTAGAGTTAAAAAAAATTGCAATTCCCTTCATGCCAGCAACATACAGAAATTTGAAGTTGGAAAATAGAGGTTTTCTACATTTTATCTTCTACAAATAACTTATCATTAATGATTAAATATCATTATATAGAATATTTAACAATATATTACCATTCTAGTGTTGACAACTGTCTACTCAGCTCTACGAACACTATTGCAAATTGAGTCAAATAGGAGGGCTCTACAGGACAAACTACAACATCCTTTCTCTGTCACAAAAAGCATCGTGTTCTGCATACATTTTTCTGTTAAAGTTAGATATTGTCAGGATTTTATTTGCCCAATAATCTCACGAAAAAGTCTAAATCTTAATTAAAAAGTGAAGAATGTTTAAACACTCTTTGAACAAAAAAAAAACCCACATAATGTTATCAAAACATTATTCAAAATTCTGGATGGCATACTATCTTTTAAAGGAGCAATATCTAACTCTGACAGTTTAAAATGGGTACTGCAGTCCCCATTTGAAACATTGGCGAGGGCTGTCTCCCCTTGCCCCCTCCTCCCTTGAGTTGATGCACACATAGGTTGCCATGTTGCAGACATGAAAGCTTCAGTGTTTAGCCAGCTCTGCATTGGTCTAGAAATCTTTCTGCGTTCTAACCTCTTTCAATTTCTGAAAAGCATCTCCAATATTTATTCTACTTTCAACATGTTTATGCTTGTGGAGCTTAATTGAAACATTTTGAGGCTTTTTAGGTCGGGTAGAATCAGTTTTCCCTTGCTGCAACACCTGTTGGTTTGCTGCTTGCCTGGCAAACCAAAGGGTGTCAAAAACAGCAGTGTGGGTGTGCCTTAAAACGGTCTACCTTCTCTGGCCAAAACAAATACAGATCATTTAGGACCAGCATATACATTTATAAGAAGGACATACTGGCTGCTGCATTGTTGTCAGAGATGCCAGAACTTCAAATTAGCACGTTTCCTTTATGTCTGAAGATACTGTAAGGTTATTTTATGGTTTACATGTAGTAGATATCTACCAAACTGGACATATTGTTCAATGGAAATATGTTGGAACAATACTCCTAAGTCTAAGTGTAGAACATTTGAAGGTCTCTTAGGGATTATTTGAATGAGAGAGAAATATTTCAAACAGTTATTATTTTAAATAAGTATAATAGTATACACACATCCCAAACATGTCCTTGCCAAAAGTATCTCATGGGGCCTACCTGCTTCCACTGATTTGCTCCTGGTGGTTTGTTGGTAAAGGGGGAAGGGGCAGGAACTCCCCCAAGCCTAAGGACTCAGGACTGTGGTCAGGGTGCAGTGGTAGCGGTGTAGCAGTGGGGATGTGACCGGCCTCTGCGTCGTCCAGAGACACTTTGCTGTTGGATAAGGAGCGCAGCAGTGGAAGACGCAGCTTGAAGCCCCGTGGACGACCTGGAGGTGAGAAGGAAGAGGAACAAATGACGGGAAAGCAGTCAGTGCCTGCAGAGTGACAGATGGACTCCAATATGAAACTGTGGCAGGAAAGAAAAAAGGAGCAGGGAAACTGAGAGGAAAGTATGAATCACCGAAACGAGAGTGTGTGGTAAAGGGCATGCTAGGGGAGCAGGAGATTGGAAGTGGTCTACGTTGAAAATACAGCCTGAAAAAGAAACAATCTAGAGGAATCTAGGGCAGTAACAGTGATTACTTTTGGTTTGAATATGAGAAATCTGTTGAACAGACAGACGTGATTCCCTAATATAATCAGTGTCCTACTTTAGATGCTGTTCTGCAAGGTTAAACCTCTGGAGAATTAAGTGAACGATCACAAATGCCCAGGATTCAAAAGAACAGATGAGTAGGCAAACCTAGCAACCACCTGGCCTTTAATGTAGATTAAAACAATCAAGGTTTAAAGGCAATAAACTGAGTGGCACCTTGGAGAAAGGCGTAACAGTGACTCTGTCATATATTTTATATAATGTGTCAAACAAAAGGGCAATTTTTTTTTTCATAGCTTAAAAGTGCACATCTTCTGTATTATAATTGCTCAACTATTAAAGTAAGAACGTGTGACATTTGACACATAAATATAGTACGGATTGTCCTCTGTAAAAGTCATGACTCTCTACCATGAGTGAGTCCTGCCAGCTGTACTGTTGTCGGAAGTCGTGTTTACATCATGTTTAAATCGGAATGCATATGAAGCTGTTTTAGTCAAGGACTAAAGAAACAAAGAATAACATAAACTACAGTACTCGCTGCTTATTTGAAGTGTCTTTAGATCAAAGACATTCTTGAAGCTATGAGTGCTAACATTAGCCTGCTAACACAACAATGCAGACCACAGGAAATTGCAGCTCGAGCTCGAACAATTTTGTCTGCCGCTTGCCCTTAATGGTGCTTCATTATGGTGCATTCTAATTCATATCTCCTTCGTGCGAACGCGGGTGGAGAGGGGTTGGAGGTGTGACACGAGAGGCTTCAGAATTGTGGAGGTGTGGCCAAACAGCAGTTTGTTTTGGTTTAATGCTGGTACTCAAGGACGACATCTATTGGATCAAAAAGTCGGACATTCTTCCTTTGAGGAAGCAAAAATACTACAGCAGATGTGTTGTACAGTAGTTATAACATTTATCGTCTTGCAAAGTTTCGTAAATAAAAGAATATCCGTCTTAACAAGATACAGAAACAAATGTTTAACCATAATTCAGGTAGGCTACACTCATGTCATCATCTCTTTGCAGGTACTAGAAAAAGGAGAGTAGTCGATTTGAGCTCATCCAGAATGCTACATCCTCGGTCCTCATGAACACCAAAAAAGTGAAGCACATTGCTGCTCCTCCCATCTCTTAACTGGCTTTCTGTGCATCCAACGTGTAAAAATAATAGTCTATGAATCACTTAACGATCTTGAGCTCAACACATTTCTTCTTGTGTATGTCAGGAAGAGTTCAGACCAATCAGGTCTTCTAGGACAGATTGACTAAGTGTTCCCAGAATCAAAGCCAAGCAATGTGAAGCAGTTTCTCTGCTCTTTCTCTGGTGGAACAAGTCTCCACTATACCTGCGGTCTGCTCATTTAAACCATGACTCACAACACATGTTAGTGAAGTTTTTTAAATCACTGAATGAATGAATGAAACCTTTATTGCTCCAAAGGGAATTAGTCATGCACTCAGAGCATAAAACATCAAAACATAAATAACAAAGACAGCAACAACCAAACAGGACAGCACATAATAAATATGAGACTAAAATCATTAAAAAATGCATCATGAAGCATTCTATAATTACATGCAAGAGATGTCAGGTGGTAAGTTCAGTAAAGTGAAGAGTGTCAAGTTCATACTGAATAATCAGATCTTATTAAGCAGCTGAATGCTCAGTGGTACAAAGAAAGTGATGCCTCTGTTTAATATATATTCAGAACAAAGGGGGTGCTCTGGGTCGGCTATAAATTTTTTTTGCTTAATTCAGTATGTACCCTTCTGTCATGCAATAGAATCACTTTTTACCATTTTATTTTTAGCTTAATTTTGCCTTTTGATTTAATGGTCTTTGCATTTCAAATGTGTATTCATCTATTGTATTCCAATGTGTTAAATCACTTCAAAAGTGGGTGATAAAACTGTTGTTACTCGAATACTTTACAACACCATGTGTTTTAAAAACGATACACTCCATTATTTGAATCATTGATAGTATTAAGTACCAAATCTTTAAAAAAGACAGATTTCCGCTCTGTTTTTTTTTTTTTTTTTTTAACAAAAGCTGCCACAAGTGAAAGAGAGACAACCGTCTAAATCACCTGTCTCTAATTTACTTTAAGTCAATCCTGCACAAAGAAGGCAAAAAGAGGAGGTGCCCCAAGAACTACAATGTGCCAGACCCCCCCACACTTTTCGATGGACACATCTGGCCCATGTATATGAGACACAAGTAGACCAAATGTGCACTTTTGACAGTTTGCAGGAGTTAACTTTTAATCTTTGGTAATTAAAAACAAGTAATTACCCAATATTTGGTGCCAAAGAGTCATTTTTGTTGCCACTGATTGGCATTGTTGATTTTTCGTATCGTATGTATAATTCTGGTATTGTGACAGCCCAAATTTGAACTGCCTTGAATCTTAAAGGTGCCAAATCAGAAACTTGCTTTGCTTTGCCTTCATTAACATACAAACATTTTTTAGAAAATGCATGCTAGCAACAGAGATGAACAAAAATAAAAGAAACTAGAAGTCTTTCATAATCTTTTTCAGCAACTGTCTTTCCTGTCTACAAACTTGCTTAAAGGACCAATATGTAAGGTATCTACTGAATTAAATCCTGAAATGACTTTACTATATTATTAGGCACCCCCACACTGCTGTTTTGGACAACCTATAGTTTGCGGGGCAAACTACAAACCAAACAGGTGTTGCAGCGACGGAAGTGGGTAAGCGAACTGGTTCAGATATAACTGATTCTACCTCACCTTAAAAGCTGCACGAGCAGAAATGTCGTAAAACTAGGATAAATATTGGAGATGCTTTTGAAAAACGGAGAGGTTGGAGCGCAGAAAGTTTTCAAGACCAATGCAGAGCTGGCTAAACACTGAAGCTTCCGAGTCCGCAACATGGCAACCCGTGTGAGCATCGACACTAGGGAGGAGTGGGGGGAGACAGCTCTCTCAAAAGTTTTGAATGTGGACTGCAGTCCCCATGTCAGAGTTACATATTACTCCTTTAAACCTGAGATGATTGGATTGAGTAGAAAACAACAAAGAAAGAACATGAGTTAATCAGTAGTTACCGGAGACAAACCAGGTAGGCACGCGGTGGTTGAGCTCCTCTTTGTTATCTAGAAGTGTTTCGTCTGTCATGACCTCAAAGTTGAGGATGAACATGATCACCAGGCCATCCTCGTTCTTCACTGGCACCACGTCCACCATACACAGGAAGCACTGACCTGCATGAGAACAGAGAGAGATAAAAGCTTAGACTGGCTGATAGCTACTGACGAAAACTTTGTTCTAAAACCTTCAGTTGACGGGTCACATATTATGCAAAATACACTTTACCATGGTTTTCAAACACTACAAACCCCCCTATAATAAGAATTGATCCTTTCCGTCCTTTGCCTGTTCCACTTTACAGAAAACGTGTGCTCAAGAAGGCCGTTTGGAGATTTTCCCTTTGTGACATCACAAAGGTCAGTAACCCCTCCCCCAGGTGGGTGGTACTCTCACAGCCACGTAGGTGTGTGTTCTGCACTCATGAGTCTGCCTTCTCACAGTAAAAAAAATGGGCATGGTGCACGCCAGGTGGAGCCGCATCCCCTTCCAGACAGGGGGGTCAAACATACCTCATTTGCATTTTAAGCTACAGACACAAGAAAGGCATGTTCTGAGCAGGACTGAAATAAAGGGGGACAGGTTTTTGGGAGCTTTGAGACTTATTTAAACTTGTTTAAAAGGTGTTAATATGTGTCCTTTAAAAAGTGAACATGCTTTTAGAATCTGGATTGAAACCTTTGACAGGTGCAATGTTTTTTAAAGTAGGCATTAGTTTAATGATTTTATGAATTTGTATGCAGATACATTGACATGTGCATAGGATCACACATGTGCATAGGATCACACATTTACACAGGCCCACTTGAACACATACACTTTTTCATTCACTCTCCTTCTCAAATGTGCATCTCTGCTTAATCAGCTCACACTCTCTCTTCCATATGAGGCCAAGCACGTTTGCTAATCCGTCACGAGCGCTAAAACAGCTAAGTACGCGTGAAATTAGACTACACGTGACAGTAAGTGGCTAGTTTTTTTTTTCTTCCAGGTCTATAAATCTGACGTTATTACTGTACACAGCAGCCACACTGCACGACAAAATAAGCTGCTATTCTGGTTCTGACACAAGAACCTTCAAAGCTTCAAAACAACATGAACACACACACACACGCACACAGATGAGAAAATGCTTTGTAATCTATATTTAAAACACTGAAAACATCAAACTAAAGTGGATGAAGACTACATTTGTCAAACTGCTCCAAAAACAATCTGACAGCAACTCAAACTAGAGCAAATATTTACAACATTTTCACCATAACATGGAGATTTCTTTCTGAAATTATCCAGAGAAATCTAGGTCTGTAAAGACTACATCTCTATGTTTTGAAGCAAACAGCATGAGGTGCAAAGTAGGTAGAGTAAGTAAACTGTCAAAAAGTTTGATGGAAAAAAAAAAAGAAACCTGTGACAAACCAAATACAATTTAGAGAAAGTCAACATCCAGTGTATACTGATGGAGCAAAGTTTCATCGTTTTGTGGCATGCTGAAATAAAGCTCCAACTGAGGGACACAAGAATGAACAGACTGCAATGAAAGAATTAAAGAAGACGATTCATAACCATCACTTGCAGATGTATTGTGATGTTTAAAGTCATGTCAATCTAATTTCATCTGTGTTCCCAAAGCAAATATCACATTGTCCTCCTTGTTCTTAAACAAATGCCTTTATGAAACCAGTCAAGAACAAAATGCATTTCAATATGCAATGTCAAAGTAGAGTCTTAGCTACGCATCAGCTATTTCCTCTATCTGTGCTGCACTCTTCACGCTGATGGTAACCTCCATACATGGACCCCTTGCTCACAGTCTAAGGTGGCCTTTCGATGTAAAAAGAGCCCCTCTCACATGTCCTGCCGTACATGGCTCTTACCTGCACAGCTATGGTCAGTGACCTGTTCTACAAATGGCAGCCACAGCAGGTTCTGTAGTTTGTAGAGCTAAAAAAAAAAAAAAAAAGCTGACACGATACAACTGGACATGCAGTGTGTCTTCTGCTGTCTGTCTGCATCGCTCACCCACCCGCTCTGTCATTCATCCCCGCATCAGTGCTGGAGAGTGGGCCCGAATCTGATTGGACAGCAGCATAATCCCAACACAGGAGGGGAAAAAATATGAAACACAGGGAAAACTAAAGGATTACACCATCTGGTCATATCTAACAGCATGTGTGTGTGTCTGTGCGCTGTGTGTTTATGTGCAGATTGCTAAGGTACAGAACTGAATGCTCATTCATAAGATACTGGGTCATGCCCATTCATGCCTGTTTCATTAACAGCCATGACACTGCATTCACAGTCCTTTTTTAATCAGTGAAGGTGTTGCTGCGTCACACCCCGTGCTGCTTTACACCACTGCTCCATGTTTTCTACGTTTGTCTGACAAGTTTATAACACAATGAGACAAAGACAGAAGCTCAATATTAGATTTATTTCCAATCAGCATCGTTATCAGCTTGAGCAGGAATTGAAATAAAACCAGATTCGTGTCGAATAATTAGTCGTAAAGAGAGAGTGAAGACATGTTTTTGGTGGGAGATGTTACCTTGATAAACTTTCTGCATAAACATGTTAATTAAAAAAAAAGTCGAAAACATAAAATGTGTCCAACAGATTAACCAGGATTAACGGATTAACTGAAAGATTCTCATTGCTGCGACATGAATTGTAGTATTTAGAGACACATTTCCAGCCGTAGTCCCTCTCTTGTGATGCCTGTCATTTTTGACACGACGTTTGAGGTGGATTATATATTTCTGGATTTGTGGAATACGTCTCTACATAAATCATGTGTTGCTTCTTTTGCATGCTAGAAAAGCATAATTTGTTTTCTTCCATCTAACAGCGTTTTCAATTTTACAAGTTGGAAAATGACCCCAAAAGAATAAACTAAAATGATTCTAACATTTGTCAGTCACAGACGCTGAGGAATGTATTTTATCACACCAGTCTCCACAACAAACTGTGAAAGCAGGAACATTTAGGTTTTGAAGCAGGACACATGACACATCATCCTGAGTTTGTCAGAGGACAGATGTGATTTGTACACACGTGTACATTTGTGCACTGAATGCATGCTTACACACACATGCTGCAGTGTAGGATTACATGTGTATTAAAGAGGATTTATCCTTAGTTCATTGTTTGAAGTCTAATACATTATGAATAGAAGACAGACTGGCTGTCAATTCCTCAAATGAAATGGGACACTCTGTTATCCTTCCCTTTACAGACTGTCTGTATAAAGATGCAAATGTGTGATTACTTAAAAAATACACAGATTGCATCGTGTACGATAATCAGACACGCATGAAAACATCAGATTCCCACATCAATGCATGCGTGTGCAGGAGAGAGTGTCCTACTGTACGACAAACACAGTCAGTGTAGACACATACACACAGAAGTGGCTTTATCTGAGAGAGAGTGTGTATGTGCGTGTGCGTGCGTGTTTGTGGTCGGAATCAAGAATAGAAAATCCTAAATTTTAAAATTTTAAAAGAAAGCGGCATAGAGAAAGAAAAAGATTTGTTTTGCCAAGGAGCTCCGGATAAAGGGTTGATTTTGCCCTTGCCTTGCAAGGAAGAGCATGTTGGCTCCAAGCATCCCCAAATTTTAACAATAGCTTATCCTTCTTAATTAAAATCAAGAATATTATATTAAAAAAAAGAAAAAAAAAAGATAAATCAGAAGGTTTGTTTTCCATCATCTGTCTCCGTCCACAGTTAAAGATTTAACCAAGAGTGTCTGAAATCAATTGAACTGGGAGATAAACAGGGAAAATATTATTTCATCTAAATGCTCTGTCTGGATGTATTCCAGTTGAGCTTGTAGCATCTCATAATCTGATGCAGCATTGCTGATTTACAAAGCTCGGGGAGATTATCACAATGCACTAAAACACATCAAAAAAAAAAGAGAGAAAAGAAACGACTGCAAACTGCTCTTTGAAAAACCAGGAATGGTTCGATGACCATACAACGCTGTGTGTTGTACTTTTAAAGGACTCCACAGATTGTTTTTTTGGGGTGTGGAAGTGTGTGTGTGTGTTTACTTTATTAAAAAAGCTCAGCTGTCCTGGATCGCTCTGTCTGCTGGAGATGCTAATGCTTTAGCGTGTCAGATAGCAATGAGGAGTTAGGCGCAAAATCCCAGACCGTGAACATTTGTATTCTCTAGATTTCATTATAGAGCACATCAGACATCTGTTATTAATATTGGATCATGGTATTACAGCATAGTATTTATTTTTAAGTGTTTTATATCTTTGTCCTGACGATGGTCTTAGCATGGTCTTTGGCCTGCTTACAAAGCCCATACTGCTATGTATGGATAACCTGTTCCTCAAAGGAATTATGGATTATAAAATGATTTATATAACAACTGTCCCCTACCACCTATAGGAGGCAACATTGGCCTGGTTTTAAACCACCAAATCAGTTCATGTGGATTTACCAGGGCTGTTCACAAGCAAGGATTGAAGTGGAAACACAATGCAATTAGAAATGTAGCGACCAAGCAAGGAAGAGGAGCAATGAGATGAAAGGTACAGAAAAAAAGAAAGAAGTAAAGATGATAGGAGGTAAAAAGGTTAATGGTTAAAAGGGAGGAATTGGTATTAGAGTGAAAACAAGGAAGATGTTGAAGAGTAAAGGACGTTGTTTCCCGGTGGTTTTAGAGGGACAAGGAGCAAAGGGTTAGCTGTTTAGAAACAGCCTTGTTCCAGTTTAGCGGGAGATAAGAGAGGATTGGTGAGGAGTTCACGGAGATCTGGCTGTCTCCGAAGCAGCCTGATGTCAGAGCACAAACATCTCTGGAGTCACATGCATGATAAGAGAAGTCTTAAGGGGTGGGTCAGGGAGATTTCAGCATCTCTCTGTAACCTTTTTATCCTGTGAGAGAGAGGGAAAGAGGTGACCCAACACCTCTTTGTCAAAGAACATCCTGCAATGTGCTGGATTAGAAATTAGTATCATAATCTCTGCTATAGAACAAGTGGATTAAAGGAATAAAGATTAGCGTTCAATCAACCACATCCTCACTTTTGGCCCCTATAGGTGAAAGGATCAGGTATGAGGCTAAAAGCAAATATGAGGCTAAGATCAAATTAAAA